ATGATTTAGTGTTAAATAAAATTTTAAAAAGAATGCAGCTGTAGCCAACACTTAAAACATGAATACATGATGGGTTTTTTTTTTTCCAAATAAGTTAAACAGCTAAATTTTCACGACATTCAAATGTGTTCCTACGCAGCAAGGCATTTATTGCCACCATCACCCAAGAGAAGCAAAGCCAACAGTGGCGGAGAACTGCTGCTGCGTGAGGGAAAGGTCCTGCTGGGCCCGGCGTGGGCTCCGGTGAGCCGAGAACTCTGCAGCGTGCCTTCCAATGGTTGGCTGGGTTCTTCTACTGTAAGTCAATCTCATTGTGATACCTGAATTCTGTTCTTTGCTCTTCCTGGTTCCAAAATAAAATAGGAGTCCTGAAATTTCAGCCCAAGAATGTTCTTGGATTTAAAAAAAAAAAAAAAAAGTGTAGGAGTCATGGGGTTTCCTTCATAAACAGCAAAAATAAGTAACTTCTAAACATATCAGCAAATTGACAATTTCAGGTGAACACCTTTCCTTGCTTAAAATTCAAGGCTAAACTGACATAAATTAAGGTGTAATTTCTAAGTTTGAGCAGATTAAATTAGGCCCAACATCATGGATCATTCCACCGCTAGCACACCGGCCCAGAGCTGTGTTTTCTGAAAACACAGCCCCCAAGCCTGGCAGTGACTGTTCTGAGAGAGGAGCTGCAGAGGAGCAGAAAGGAGCTCAAATCTGAGGCCTGGTTACCCAGATTTCCTCCTGGCTCTCCCACCGGCAAGATACTTGAAAACACTGTGCCTCTGTTTTCCTACCTATAGAATGAGGACAATAACAACAGCACACAATCTGATCTCCTTGGGCTAAAGTGAGGGTTACACAAGTCAATCCACACAAAAGGCTTACAAAGTTGTGGGCAAATGGCACAGAGCTGGTACATGCTAGCGACTCGTACTGTGTCATTATCTTCATGAGCTGGTGTCCTGAGCTTGGCTCAGCATCACAACTCCTACTTGTGAGTGTTTGTCCCCAGTTGCCATATGTCAGCTCTTTAAAGCAGTGACAACAGTACACCTATAAAAACAGTCACTTGTCCTTGAAAATAGTTTTCTAGGTGCTGAGTAGCTAGATACGGAAAACTGTTGAACAAAATGGCCTAATCCTTAGGTCCCACAGAGTTTTGAGGATTTGGAAGATTCTTTTCCTTTCTCAAGATTCAAATCAACTGAGCTACAGTTATAGGAGTCAAACAGAATAGAGGTAAAAATATCATCTTTTGGCAGGTGATATCATTGGAGCCCAGGCTTTGGGGCCGTGGGCTGAGTGAGCTTGCTAATGCTTCACCCCATTGGGCAGGCCACCAGCCTTAGACACTGGAACCTCTAAAGTAGCCTGGCCCCCACTGACCCACCAGCGGGGTCTGCTCCTGTAAAAGCGATGGCACAGGCGAGCAGGGCACAGATGCAGCAAGCTCCCAAGGAGAAAGGTGAGGAAGGGGTTGCTGAGTCATGCACACCACTCCCCGCCCTACCCCAGCTACCAATCAGGGGACTAAGCAAGAAGACAAGACACAGTGCTACTTCAGTGCCAACACTCTACGTGAAGACAGGAGGAATGGAAACATCTCACCCATCCTACAACCCCAGTAAAAGGCCATATGCACCCTGTCCAATATGGCAGACACAAATCACCGTCATCATTCAAACCTAAATTACTTAAAATTCTAAATTCTAAAAAGAAAATTCAAGCTTCAGTTCCTCCATTGCACGAGGTGCATTTCAAGTGCTCACTTATCGCACGGGATGTCAGGTATGACACTGGATAGCACAACTACAGAATCTTGCTTTCAGCTCAAAAAAACTTCTATTGGTCAGCACTGGGACTTAATGGGAATTTGTCTTAATGTGTGGCTCATATTTAAACCAATATTAATGATCCAACTCCTAGAGAACTGCTGTTTTGAGACACAGACCTGACTTCTGCCTTTCTGAACTCATCCCCCTCCCCACCAGAATTGGATAATTGAAAATACTAGGGTATAGTATTAGTGAACAAATGAGACCAAACTACACTCCCATTAGAGTATTCCGCCGGGCTTTTATTTTTCACTCTTCAGTTTTTGTTTAGTTTTGTCTGTCTTTTGTCTTTTTAAGTGCATGTTTACAGCGCATGATTGCATCCATTGTGAGGGGTTGGTGCCCACACATGGCACATCTTATCCTCCTTTCCTTCTTCTCCCTGCCTCTTCCCTCCATCTCTTGATCCTCTTTCCATCTGCAAAAGATCTCCCTGCTTCTTATTATCCATATTTTCTTTTGTTCCTTCATTTACTTAGACTTTAACTTTCTCATGTAAGAGGAACAATGTATTTATCAGCACGTGTGCCTGATTTATTTCAGTTGAAATCAAAGTCTCAAGGTGCATTCATTTTCCTACAAACGGCTCATATTTGTCCTTTGTGGCAGAGTATTACTCCATTGTGTATCAATTCATTTTCTTCACCCATTCATCTATAAGTAGATGTATAGGATGCTTCCAAGCTTTAGTTATTATGAATTGTGCTGCTATAAACATGGGTATCCAAGTATTTCTTTTTTTAATTTATTTATTTTTTACATTTATTTAGTGTGTGTGTGTGTGTGTGTGTGTGTGTGTGTGGCCAGCTCAGCCCACCAGGGGACAGGGCTGACTGGCATGTGGTGCTGGGGGATCGAACCGCGGTCCCTGTGCTTTGCCAAGCTTGTTCCAAGTAGGTGCTTTAGACCACTGAGCCATCTCTCCAGCCCCCAAGTATTTCTATAATATGATATCTTTAACTCCTTGAGGAAGATACCCACAAGGGGAGTAACTGGGTCAAGTGAAATTTCTACTTTTAGTTTTTTTAGGAATATCACTACTGATATCTCTAAGGGACTCTTAAGCTACATTATTTTTGTGGGATACCTGAAACAGAAAAATAGCTAGCATTGTCCATGAAATACCCAATCCTAAATAAAATTTCTAAAACTGTATGACATTGTAATTTATGCCATATTTCCTCTAGCACCATTTAGAATGAAACACTAGCCAAAAATATTTGAATAAGCCTGCCAGCAGAAAGCGAAGTGTATAAATTTAGAAGCACCCAAACTTTCTGTGTAATCATCTTAGAACAATTTTCATTCATGAGATTAGATCTAAATAAGTTTCCTGTAGCATTTTCTTCTTAAAAACGTGTTTTAAATATGTATATGTGATTTGTACTTAATCATAGTGAAAATAACTCCTTATCCCATTGATAAGGGGTACTCTGAATTTTGAACATTTATAATCAACTTTCTTTTTCTTCTGCCTTATTTCTTGCAAGATTGACATTTATTCATTTAAATAGCACTTTTGAATGCCTCCATGGCACTAGACACTGGAGACCAAGCAAATTGAGGTGTACTTTGCCTCCCAGGATCTTGAAGTTGAGTCTCAGCCCAAACAGAGAACCCCAGAAGGTGAGGTTGGAAGGGAGACCAGGCAGCACCCAGCCTGGATGCCCAGAGAAACCCAGGCCAAGAAGGCAGAGTGTTTGCCTTGGTCACTGACGGAGCCGTGCCCCTCGCCCTCTGCCTCCATCCCACCCACAGGGAGAGTTCTGGCAATGCCACCTCATACGCAGCACTCGAATCTTTTTGTTTTCTTTTAATATATTTAGGACAAGGTCTACAGGGTCTCACTACACAGATCAGACTCGTAGTGATCTTCCTTTTTTATAGCCTCCCAAGCGCTGGGATTACAGGCGAGCGCCACCATGCCCAGTTTCAATCGCTGTCTCAGCGCCCCTGGGGGCGGGGCCAGCATGGCACGCAGGGGATTGAACGCCCGTCCCCGGGACTGCCTAAACAGGCGTTTAATCCACTGACCTCTCTGGGCGGCCCTAGCACTCTGAATCTTTAAGGAGTTGGGAAACTTGTTGGATGAGTGATTTAAATTGCTTAAACCAAAAGTAAATAGCTCACAGGGAGAACCCGGCAAGCCGTTCTGCACACGAGGAGCCCGGGCCACAGTGGGCACCAGTGAGCACAGAGCTCAGTAAAGAGGGGGCTTCGGAGGTGAGTGTGGAGGTGAATGCAGTCGTTGTGGCTGTAAATGAATCTCAGGGCTGTCATTTTTTTCCTCTGTCATAAACTGTCTCAGCCCAGTACCACAAAAAAAGAAATAAAATAAAATAAAAAATGTTTCAGATTTAATGAACAGCACTTGATTCACAAAACTAGACTCAGCACAAAAACTTTGACAGGTAATCTCATATATATATTTGACATAAACTCTACAACCATTTGAATTTTTAGCCTCTGGTCTGCATAGCTTTTGTTTCCCTAAACTTAAACTACAGTTAGTTCATGCATTTCACTGGCCCAACTGAATTTTTATTAAGGAAATTGTAACATCAATAGCTTGAAAATATAAATGATTGTGCATCTGATATGCAAAGCAGGACTTCTTTAGTATTAGTTTGGTACAATCAATAGACATTTCTGATTATTCATAAAGGAATGTACAGTAGTTCCTCTAGTTCGTGATTTTTCTATTATATTGCAAAAAAAAATTAATTCATTTAGTACAGGGTCTGCAGGGTCTCACTACACAGATCGAACTTGTGGTGATCCTCCTGTTTTCATCCTCCCAAGCACTGGGATTGCAGACGCACACCACCTCGCCCAGTCTCAATCGCCATCAGCGCGGCCCTGGGGGGGCAGGGGCAGCACAGCATGCTGATTGAACTCCTGCCCCCTGCATCTGCCTAAGCAGGTGCTTTAGTCCTCTGAGCTATCAGGCTGGCCCTATGCTGTAAAATTAATAGTACTAATTACAGTATTATGACATAGTATTCAAAATACTTGAAAACAATCTTTTTTAGGTACTCAGAGGCATTTTTAAAACTCTATGTACATGAAATGACTAGTATAAATTTACTAAATTTGCCAATGTAGGTAATCCGTTATATATGATATTTTAATCTGAAGTGAATTTGATAAGCAATGTCAAATACTCACAGCAACAAATTGGTTATTTTCTAGTTTAATGATGTCCCCCACTTTGACATTCATCCATTTTTCATTCTGCAGTCTGAGGACAAAAACAAAATTAATTTTTTTCAAGAATAGAGAAGAACCAAACATATAACCAAGGAAATGCATCTATAGTCTTCATGTGAAGTGAAGTCACACTACACAGGAAGCAGGTAAGACTGCGCTAGGATGTTAAATTCCTTCTAGCAAAGTTCTTTGCCTGAGAAGCCTGGGAGTGAAAGCTCAGAGAGATTAAGGAGTTGCCCAAGGTGACCCTGTGGGTTAATGACACCTTTGGGTGAAACTAAACATCCTCCTGTTGGCTAAGTGCTGTTTTTCACTGCCCCACAATGCCAGCTTGTGCCACAGTTGTGACTGTCCATAAATTAAACTGCTGACATTCTTTTCAAATTCTTTACAATAAAACAGAAGTATCCTTGTCACTGTCTCAGACAAAAACGGAATGAGAAGACAGTGGCAGGTGGGACAGTGCAGGGCGACAGCTCACATGCAAGTGAAAGAGGAAAAGTGAACATTTTGAAGAGGGCAAGAAAAGAAGCCCTGAGAGACAGCAGATGAACTGTCCAGCACTGCAGCCAGAGGAGGGCCCCATGGCTCAGGATAGACGCTGGCAGGGCAACAGCGGCCCGTGCAGCTCTCTTTGAAGTCCATGCATATGACAGCTGAGCCCCATATTCGGGACCCCACGGTCAAGGGGTCTATGATGCAAAGCGATCACGTCCACTGGCTCCACTGGCCCTGTAGAGCAGGCCACCTGCAGCACACTCGTGTGATACGAGCACTCCCTTCTGAAACTTCCTGAAATGGAAACCGGCCTTGTATTCCAAGTTGGAAGCCTTTGTCACGCTTCTTTCTCCGAGATTCTCACTTAGAAGAGCAGGCAGGGACGGGTGGGTTAGAAGGGAAACTGAGAGGAGCAGGCCCACGCCCCAGTAAGTTAAGGTGGGCAGGTTAATTTCATTGTGCAGGGGTTTTATTTTTAAAAAATAACCTCATTTACTTTCCTTTATAGTTTGGAAAACAGTTTTAAATATTTATACAACTGTGAAATATGCCTCACACTATCAACTCTGCTGGGTCATTTGGCTTAAACACTCCAAGAATTTTTCTTTAATACGGATCCAAGTACATGTTGTTCTGGAAAATCTTCAATGGCAGCATTTTCATCCCAAGCCAGAATTCAATCGCTTCCCAAGCCTTGCTTTTCTGGACTTTATCTAACTCGATGACAACAGGAGAAGCTAGGAAGCCCTGAAACCTTACTTTGTTTATGTTTACAGGTATGGATGCTGCACTGGCTTCCTTCTGCTGAGGATCTCATGGGCCAGTAGAGACATTTCTCAGGGAACAGTGTACACAGAACAGGACACGTGGATGGGGGGGGGATGCTGGGTCTTATTTATGCAAATCACACTGCTACTAAAGTCTCTTAAGATGCTGAAATGATACCAAGTGCTGTGACCCCTCCCACTTGGACGCGGTAAGCGCAGGGAGGACGGCACCAGAGACAGCAAGCGACAGCTCCTCGAGGATAACCAAGAGCTTAGCACAGCTCAGCTGCTCTGCCAATGCCCTACAACCTCACAGACACGTGGCAGACTCGTGGGCAGAACCCTAACAGGAAGCAGCACAAGCCTTGCAGAGTGAGTCGCTTATAGAAAGTCATCTTGCAACTAGACAAAGACACAGAAGTTAGGTGAAGGGCAAAAAAGGTACAAAAGACATTATGTCAGGAAGGTGAAACTAACCGTGTGAAATATGCAATTGAATTACACAGGAAAATGGATGGAGGCATTGATGGAACACAACATAGGGACATGGCTAGGTTAAACCCTTATTTGAGTAGGTATCTGTGTACGCTACAATAAGAGGTGGGGGCTTTGTAGTGATGTTTCAGATTCTACCCCACCAGCTGTATATCATTGCCTTTGGCTAAGAACTCAGAGGCACATTTAATAAGCGCTAAGGATCAGAAGTACCCGAGTGTACAACAGACAGAAACTAGTGCGGACCTGCAAATGAACTTCAGTTGTCTCTATTCTGAAAGCAATCATTTCTCTTGCCATACCCACTACCACGGACAATGAAAAACATCAAAGACACCCAGCAGGATGAGGAACAGACAAGAAGATTTGCCTTAAAGCTCATCTTCAAAATATTTCTGGGCTTTTCAGATTTTAACTTGTGTAGTGATTGGGTTTCGTCATCAGCTTGAAGCAATGAACAGACACACCCTAGTGCCCCATGTGCTACGCAGATGTTCGAAGGTTGGTGCTGGAAGCCAGCCACGCCTTGTGCAGCCCTGCTGGGAGGACACAAGGTGGCTTCATGGGCTGTCAAAGGTGACACATGGCCCCAAGGACCCTGGACCTTCAAGCTTTGCCTTCACCTTTGTCAGGGAAAGGCACCGAGCGCATGAAGATGAATATTCTGCCGAGTTCATTCATTAATCGCACTGAAATTCCAAGATCTTAAAATGTGACTCAATTTTCAGTATTGTAATAGAATTACTGCATGTTATGCAACAGGCATAATCTAGTTAGTGCTCCTTTGAAGCAGATTTTTCAAAACTAGATGGGATAATAAGATAGCCTTTACCTTATTGAACTCACAAGCCAATTGGTAAATAAGCCAAAATTAAGAAAACAATTCATAAAATTTACCTTCCCGAGGCAGCTGGAAACATGGACTTCAACTGCCACAGAATGTCAGAATTGTTTTATACAGCCACTAACATACATATCTTCTCTTCAGAACCTCAGAGTCTGAGAGCTAAGGAAAGAGGAATGGTCGAAACTGCCCTAAATGACATCTGATAAGTCCATCCACGCCTGCTTCTTCCTGATGAGGCAAGGGCACCAGGAGCACGGGGCCTAGAGGAAAACCTCCTTGAGTCAAGGCAAGTCTGCAGTTGGGCACATACCTGTGATCCCAGCACTCGGAAGGCTGAGATGGGAAGATCACTGCAAGGTGGAGGCCAGTCTATAGAGTGACTTCAAGGTCAGCCTGGACTACATCATGTGACCCTGTCTCAGAGAGAGAGAGAGAGAGAGAGAGAGAGACAGACAGACAGACAGACAGACAGACACAGACAGAAAGACAGAGAGAGAGAGACAGAGACAGACAGACAGATCGACGGACGGATGGACGGACGGACGGACAGAGACAGAGATATAGACACTGGGCTAGCACCTACATTCTATGTACTGGACTACAGGCTCTAGAGCTTGCCTTAAACAAGATGCCCAGCCGAGGGACAGACAGGGGGACATTCAACAGGCTCCTCCAGGCCCCTGTCATCCTTCCCACACTCCATCGTTCCTGGCTTCTTATTAGCAATACAAATTCCTAAAAATCAGGGTTTCCTAAAAAGTTACAGAAGCACTGTCGGGACCCTAGAGACCAAACAACACGTAACTGCCTCCTGCTCAGCACGCAGCCCTCCTACACAAAGCCCAGTGTTTTCAGTCTAAGCCACATGTCAGTGCTGGGAACAACGGAAGCCCTCCCAGCCCAGACAGCCCCTTTGGTTCTCCACTGTGTCCTCAGGATTTAGCATAATGCCCAGCTCCCAGTAGCTGTTCAATAAATGTTTATTGAATGATAGATAAATCAAGGAGCATAAAATGAATTCTTTCCAAAAACATTTGCTGATTAATATCATTTTCCTAAATGTCCAGTAAGAATTATAGCATGCATTCTAGGGACTGGACTAATATTTTCATGTATAGAGTGGCAAATAAAAAATAACACCCCATTAAATTTGTGTTCAGAGAAACAAGAAGTTATTTTAGCATAGGTGTGTCTCATGTGACATTTGGGATATACTTCTACTAAAGGATTATTGTTATTTATCTGCTATTAGAATATAACTAGAGTCTCGTATTTAACTTTGGTATAGCTAGCAACAGTACATGTGTATCTTATCTCACAACGATCTTATGAGATACGTACTGTTTCTACCCTCATTTTACAGACTAGCACCCTGAATTTCAGAGAAATTAGGGTATTTATGCTATTTTGCAATATCCATTAAAAAGTCATTATCCACACAGTTTGATATAGATATGCCGCTTTAAAGAATTGATTATGCACGTGTTTAAACGTGCGCATGCGAGGGTGCTTATTGCAGCCTTGGTTATAGCGATCCACTGGAGACCACTAAAAAGAAATCACTTAAAATTAGACAGATGTACAGTGGCACATGTTCATAAATGGTTCGTCTACTGGATGGGCTACAATGTAGCCACAGAAAAAAGAACAGGATGGTACTAACATGAAATGTGGTGTAAGCCATACTTCTAGGTGAAAAAGAGCCACAGAAGAACATTACATATACGTGGCAAGATTCATTCTTGAAAGGAAAGTATACATGACCACACACAGCTAGGATTTCTCATGCATAGATGTCTTGAAAGACACAAGAAACTGTGAGCGGTTGCCATGAGGGAAAGGAAACGCGGCGGGGACTGGGAGGGAAGAGAGGCTTCACCCCCACTGCATACGCTTTTGTACTGTTTGACTTTTCAGGATTCTGTAAGTGGCCCTTTTGAAGGCTGACTTGGGAGAGAAATAAAGAAATGAAACCCGTCCCTTTAGGTCACATTGACTGGCAGGGCTGGCACCGGAACCCACGTTGGTCTGGCTGCAAAGCCCACACTCCCACTAAGTCTACATTTGCTGTTCTTCTCACTGTATTCTCTATGGTAATTGTCTGCTGCTGTTTCAAAAGAGAACAGCCCCCAAGGAACACGAGAGGCGTGATGGTGGCCAGCAGTACACACTTGCAGCCTTTAAAGCCAGCTGGGCCAAAGGCAGCTCACAGCCTGCCCTGCCACGAATGCCCTGCAGAGCAGATTTCTGGTTCTTTTCAGACCTGGCACTGGCGGAGCTGTGCCAGGGAAAAGCCTGCCGCTCAGCCCCATCCCTCCTGACAGACTGGTGAGTGGCTCTCAGGACACGGAGAAGGAACATAATGCTCGTCACTGCACTGTCTACTCATTTGCAAGAATGCATATGTGTTCCCCTTTCCCTTAC